GTTACCAGTTCTTTCTTAGAGTCAGTACTTCCCTTGAACAAACCGATTCTATCTCTGTCTCGTGTGCAAGCAGCCTCTCTAGGATGGTCCCTGCTACTCTCAACTCATTCCTTGTATCTTCTGTTTGTGACTGATTTGCATTACTGGAATCACCATGTTCGGGTATATCTGTTAATTCACTAGCCCTGGTATCTTCTTGGTAATGGAAGGTCATACATCATTGACAAAAGCAATGCATATAATGCTGCTTCCACTAGAATGTGACCCCTAATAGCCCTTGAAATGACCTTGCCACACATATCCAACAGCATTCTCGGCATAAATTTTCTCCAATAGTGCCTTAAGTCCAGATCCACTCATCAAATGTCCAATGCAACCCAGAAAACTCATCTGCACATGCAGACCATCCAGTCTGAGAACAATATTCCTCACACTGCTACTTGTGGGCTCATTATGTTGGATTTCCAGTGATTTCCGGGTGTTGTTCCACATTATCCCTGGTGTTATTGTCGTTATTATGCCCATACCATGAAACGTGTTCAGCCTGTCAATGGTCTGGACATTATGGTCAACATTATCAGCTACATGTATAAAACCAGGAATGTCAGTTGCTTGGTGCAAGGTGGCACTACGTTCAAACTTCTGTACCTCTGCATATGATGAACTAAACCCATGACTATGGAGAAAATCAATGAGAAATCATGAGCCAAACTGGCGATGCATTTGAACAGCAAGTCCTATTTGTAGTGGAGTCACTATAACACGTGGGCGAACTGACTGCATGATGGCCTGCCCTATGGATGCCACCTTAACATCAGTGTCTTTTCCAACAAACATATCTTGAAGTAAAACTTTCAGGGTGGATGGAAGGTACTCAATGGCGTTGCATTTCTTCAGTGTTTGGGTATAAGTGACTAGTTGTGCTGCACGATTTTCTATCATTTTAATAAGTTGTGCTGCCGTTTTAATGAGTCAATTTTTTTTCGGATTCAGAGGCTTCATTCTTTACATGATAGTGGAAATAATGTGAAATTGCTGATGCTGTGAAGTCTGGCTTGTATCTGTTGCATCCACTCATCTTCGTGGATCTTGAGTTTTGTTATTGCAATGTTGTACGAATCTAAATTTATCACAAGCATAAGCAAGACGCGTTTAGTACGCACAAAAAGTTGTCAGTGTTTGCATTCAGAAAGTCTGAAAGTGTTCAAGCAAAGAAATCGCAACATAATCTTGTGCTACTTAAGGTTCGTCTGGTTGCCATATAAGGAAATCACGTGATGATAATCAAAAGTCACATTGACTTTACAAACTGAGCAATTTATTATGATTGACAGTCATGCAAAGACTTGCAAATGACTTGTTTTAACTATATTAAAATATGATTACTCTAAACAGAGCAATTGATACTGAAAGGAAAAGATTAAGCTATATTTTAGAATAACAGGGTGTTTAAAAAACCCTGGAAATTACAAACGAGACATTAAAAGTTCAAACAGTGCTTAGTTTCCTAGATGCTAATGCTTAGAAATAAAGGAAAGATATTTTGTTATACCGATAAGTATCTGGTAAAACAAAGATTGGTTGACTACTTGACAAGGTTAAAATAATTGTAAAT